TGAGGCAATTCCATGTAGTTTTTCTGATAGTCAAGAGGTTTATTTGGGATCAATTTACAGCAAGCAAAGGGGTCAGTTACTGGATCCAGGAGAGGTAAGGCACAGTCCCAATGCAGTTCTCTGGTGAACTCTGACTTGGTCTACGGTCCAGCATCTAGCATCCAGGATCACGAGGTAGCCAAGAGAGATCACGGACATACACATCTCAGGTCTTAGGGGGTCTCCATCTTGGCCACACCCTGGGTGGGGACAGCTACCTAGCAGTTACCTGCTGCCTACTAGGGGTGGTGTTTCAGTGGGGAAGCACAGACAACCTAGAGTAAGTATTCAAGTAAACAGTGCGTGCTAAAACCTTAGCACAAAATTGCAGTGGAGAAGCGTGGAACAAAACACCAGGTACCACAGCTAGAGTCATAATTATTATTGGGAACGTCAGGCCTAGATGCTGGGGAAACAAGATCATAAGATTTCTAACTAAGCCGGGCGGTGGTGGCGCACGCCTTTAATCCCAGCACTCGGGAGGCAGAGCCAGGCGGATCTCTGTGAGTTCGAGGCCAGCCTGGGCTACCAAGTGAGTTCCAGGAAAGGCGCAAAGCTACACAGAGAAACCCTGTCTCGAAAAACCAAAAAAAAAAAAAAAAAGATTTCTAACTAACCACAGTTTGCCTATGGAGATTTGAAAATGCAGTGTGGAAGAGAAATATGTGAGCCACAGTATCGAGAATTAAGCCATCTCTTCCCCGGCCTCCACACTGCACTCTCAGACTCTCAGAAAGTATTTAGGGGCCCATGGGAAACTTGGGGATCATTCTGGATCACAACTGGGCCCCAAGGCATCCATTTACTGTTCCCTTTTCCCCCCTTTACAGCTGGCTGTCTTTGAACTCGTTGCAATCCTCCTGCCTCAACCTCTCAAGCGCTGGGATTACATTCATGAACCACTGAATCCAATGCTCAGTTCAACCCCAGTTATTTTTCTTCTATGGGCAATTTTTTAAAAGCACATATGGAGAAAATAATTAAACCATTGTAAGTTTAATTGTCCTTGCAATTACATAAATGTACCGGCATCTCCTAAGCCAACATAGTGTTAATTACATACCTTTTCTTTTTTTTTTTCAAAAGTAAATTTAGATGTGCCTTAGGTCATTCCTCCTCAAATCCGTTAACATGCAGAGTTATGCAAACCTAACATTTGTCAAAACGAACGCCACTGACAATTGTGCTTTACCATTTGAAAGAATGAAATCAAACATTTACAATCTTAAAAATTAGTAGAATGAGTCGGAGCTTTATAATGGGACCATATTATTCCACAATGATTTTCTATACAAATGCCTAACCAAGCAACCACTATGCCCGGCCCTATGTCAATGTTAAATATAGTTTAAAAATAAAGATAGTTTAAAAGTAAAGGGATAGAGGCAGGTGTATCATGCTAATGCAGGTTAAAAGAACTCTGCAAGCCAAGCCAGGTGGTGGTGGCACACGCCTTTAACCCTAGTACTTGGGAGGCAGAGCCAGGCAGATCTCTGTGAGTTCGAGGCCAGCCTGGTCTACAGATCGAGATCCAGGACAGGCACCAAAACTACACAGATAAACCCTGTCTCAAACAAACAAACAAACAAACAAAGAACTCTGCAGTAGCTACATTAATTTAAGAAGCACTGACAAGGATAATAATTAGATAAAGATGGACATAATTGTGAAAGGGTCGATTATCTAAGAATGTGTGTGACTAACAACAGTGTCAAATACATCAAGAAGACTTTTACAGCCCTTTAAATAGCACTTTTAAGGCTGGGCAGATGGCTCAGTGGGTAAGAGTGTTACTATGTAAGTTATGAGGATCTGAGTTCAAATTCCTAGCACCCATATAAAACTGGACATAGTAGTACTTGACTATAACCCCGGTATAACACCACATTGGCCTCTGACCTCATTAAGTGCATGCCTTCACACACACTCAGATTACACACACACACACACACACACACACACACACACACACACACACACACACACACAAGTATACTTAAGAAAAAAATAGTGCTCCGGGCAGTTATGGTGGCACACACCATTAATCCCAGCACTCGGGAGACAGAGGCAGGTGGATCGCTGTGAGTTCAAGGCCAGCCTGGTCTACAGAGTGAGTTCCAGGAGAGCCAGAGCTACACAGAGAAACCCTGTTTCAAAAAAAACAAAACAAACAAACAAAATAGAAAAAGAAAAAGCAGAGCTTTCATAGTACTTTTTTCACAGTACATCTAAGTACAGTTTATGAAGGTACTTTAGTAGTTGTATTGGTTAAAAGTGGGTAGATAGAGCTGTTAGAGGCTCAGTACCAATAGGACACTGGCAATGATCCAGATCTAACTGATGTCTGTGGACTCCTCCAGCCAACACAGCATGGTACATTTTCCTTTTTTAGGTCACATGGAGCATTCACCAAGAGAGACCACACTCAAAGTTATAAAAAGTATTTTAAGAATTAAAAAAGGAAACCCTACAATATAGTCTCAGCCTATGGGAAAACCAAGAGGAAGACAGATTTAAAAAAAAAAATCCTCTAAAAGAGAGACATCGCTTTGTAAATAAAGACAATCTCAACTGACAGAAGTCTTAAAGGACAATCCTAAAACAAGAGATTATCATTGCAGGGCAATAATAAGGATGAAAAATGGCATCTACAGAAAGCTCCACAGCTTTTGGCTGTTAAGTGTTGCTCAAAATTATTTGTCATTTGTCAAACTCAAATTTGAGCACAAGGGAACTGCACACTCTCTCTGGTTGTGTCCCAGCGGGACCTGCTGGCCTGGAATACATGGGGACCAATGGAGGAAAATCCCTTAGGGCAGGGTTATCCTTGGAGATGCTAAGAAATGACACTGTGGTCCCCTGGTCCGGACTCTAGACTCGGGTCTGACAAGACCAAGGCATCGCTGCCTGTGCCTGTCCACAACATGGCTGTCAGTCCCAAGCCCATGTTCTTGAGAGATGCTCATTATGATCAACTCACTTCCCACTCTGATATTTTTTACCTGGTGCCTGCTCTGTGGCAAGTTTTTGTATTTTTTATTTTCTAGATGCTTTGGATGCAAGATTGAAGGCATGTGGTTTCCGTTTGGCTCTAGACTATCTCAGAAGATAAAAGAACACAACCTGGTCCCCAGTGCTGAGGTACTTGCTAAAGGCATGGCCAACTTCCAGGGTTGGGATGCAGACAGAGGTAACCAGCCTTGAATCATAAAGAAGACATTTCAGAATTTCCCGGAAAAGAGCTCACTCCGCAACGGTTATCAAGTTTCCCCTTGGCCCTCTCCCCTGAGCACCAATATAACTGAACTAGTAACACTCAGCTTATTCCGTTGTTGGGAAAATCCAAAAGCACCCCAAGGGAAGCGAAGTCAGAGTACTGTGCACAGAGAGTCACAATTAGCAGAATCCTCCCTGGACTGGATCCCCTCGCATCTTGGAGACACTGGGTTGGCCCCCTCCAAGGACTCCCAGGTCCAAGGCAGAGGCCAGTCTGTGGAAAGTCCCTGTCCAGGCTTCAGATTTCTGTGGACTGAAATGGAGGCGTCAACGTCTAGATGGGCAAAGAATGGAAGCAAGAGAAGGGAGAAATGAGATCATCTAAATGTTGAAAAGAGAGAAGGCCGGAGCTGGTGAGAGTCCTCAGGGCCCGATCTGTGAGTACAGAGAATGAACGCCAAATTCCACAGGTTCTGCCGGGCACACAGACCCTGCAGAGCATTGCACTTCCATCTCAACATTTGTCTCTCACAATCTTACTCCAAGCTATCTGCTTGTGGCTCGGATCTGGCGGTCTCTAGCTCTGGCAGTCTCTAGTTCTGGCAGTCTCTAGTTCTGGCGGTTCGTGTGTGACTTATCTAACCTCAATTTGTTTTCAATCATCTGGACAATGGGATCACGGCCCCTGTGCAAAGCACTTTGGGGGAGAGTTCCTTCCTTGAGCTTCTTCCAAGTTCCCCCATAGCCGATGGGAAGCTGATAATTCACTCTAAAAATTCTGACCCGTTCTGAGATTTGGTTACAAAAATTGGCATCAACTGATCAACTATGGCAGTGGTGTGTGAGTGAGGGCTCCTTCCCCCGAGGCCTGCATGGGGCCGTGTGGTGTTACCAAGCCCTTCTGAGATACTGGGCTCTGAGCCCATTGCCGAATGTTTCCAAAGACATCTATTAAACAAGCAGGACCTAGGGGGACAGTCAATGTGTTTTGCCAAGTTCTTGTATGTGCGGAGTCACTTTAGCAGGGAATCAGGGGTGTGGAGGCAGAAAGCAAGTCGGGGGGAGTATGTGAAGGGTATAGGGAGCCAGAAGACCGTCTGTCCATCAGGCAGGAAGACTGGGAAGATGTCACCCATTTGAAGGTGCCAATTATTTTATGCACACTTATTTACTCTTTTAACAAAGTCCTTCATGGTAGAGATTTGTATCCCCACTTTTCAGAGAGCTGAAGAGTCACTTACTCAAGTTCATCCAGGTATCATATGCTATAGGCAGGATAAACAGACAAGGAGAATTCTGGGAACAGGAAGGTTGCGTCAGGAGACACCAGCCTGCCGTCCAGGGAGCAGCATGTAATGGCACATAGGTAAAGCCATGGAAAATGTGGTGACATATAGATTAACAGAAATGGGCTGAGTTTAAGTATAAGAACTAGTCAGTAGTTAGCCTGAGCTAATGGCTGAGCGTTTGTAATTAATGTAAGCCTCTGTGTGTTTACTTGGGTCTGAGCAGATTTTACTTGGGCTGCAGACTGGGTGGGACACAGGAAAACTTTCAGTTACAATATGCAAGGTTCCAGTCTACTGTGGCCCTTTCTTCTTTATACCAACCAGGCTGCCATTCCCTAGAAGCCCATATTTCTAGGAGACGGATGGACCCTAGTGACAAAGCAGACATGTTCCTATGTTCTATACTCTTAATTCTACATATCCCCACCCACCCACCCAAATAGACAAGCAGCATTTGCTAGGCAGCCTTGATTATCCTTGTACCAGTCAGTACAGTAACATCTTGGCCAGGCTGCTGTCTCATCAGACTTCAGCAGACAACCCTGTGTCTGTCAGCTCAATACTGCCTACCCCTGGCCCTGTTTCTGCATAGCAGGAACCTAAGAGTTCATCTCCTGTGCTGTTCCCAGACCTGCTGAGCTTTGATGTGAGGGCTACATCCAGGAACGTCGTGGGCACTGCTGCCTGGACTGGCTTAGTTCAATGCCTATCATCACCGCCTGCCAATAGGAATGCAAATGGAGCAGGAGGTTTGTGCACTCGGACAGGGCATCAAGAAGATGCCAATCAATCAGTCTACGGCTCTCAGCCTTAACTTTCTTTGACAAAAAAATATGGGAACAGATACTGGGTCTGTCTAGTCCATGCCACTCAGGGCTCCCATGGAAGGAAAAGGTGTGGAGAGTGAAGTGAGCGCTGGTCACAAACAAAGCTCAACTCTAAGCGAACAGTTATTGTTTGGGCACCTACTGGGGTTTGTCACTTAATGTTATGTGCACCCTGAGAGCTGGCAGCAAGAGGCCCAAGGCTTGCTTGCGAGCATGCAGAACCATGCCTATGTGCCCTTGGGTGGTGCTACTGTGGGGATGTCCTGCTCCTCTCCGATGAAAATCAGGCATTTCTGTGATGAGTCTCCATCGTTCTCTAGCATAGGCATTCCTGTATCTTCAAGTCGAGCCATACCTAGAAGGGTCCTGCGAGCATGTCAAGCTAGGCTATCCTCTTCATCCCCCCCCACCCCCCGCATCCTCGTTTCTCTTAAGTCTGGATATCCTTCCTAGTTGGCGTTTTTTCTGCTGCTGTGTTCAGCGCCATTACATGTACCCATCACCTCTGTTGATCGGCCACTGTACTGTATATGCTTGCAACACGTTATTGTTGCTGTGTTGTGATACAGATAGGAATGCTTGAGACGTAAGGAGTAAGACACAGCTAAGACACTGCTCCCCAGTGGACCTGTGAACATCATGGTGGCAGGGGAATGTGTGAGCTACTCCTGGCTCTTTCTGAATAAACAAGATCTGAACCAGTTGCTTAACAATCTTGTAGCTTGCTCTAGCTCTCTCTTCCACCTCGCCCCAATGCCCCAAGACCTTACTCTTTGGACAGTTCTTTCACATACCACTTTTACCGTATGCTAAATTAGCGTGTGCATTTGAGCATACACATACAAACAAAGGCTTTCTGTCCTATCTCATCAACACATCCGTCCGTCCACAGTGTGTCTTTGAGGACTACAGTTTTGCACGCTTTATTTTCACTATCTAGTCTTTCGTGGTGGCCACATTCTTTGACTTGACATTGTCGGTGTGCTCACGACTCTTCCTGTGTGTTTTCCGCCTGAAACTTAAACAAAAACGGTCTTGGTTAGTTCTTGCTTTGAAATCGCAGGGCACGCATAGTCTACGGAATGCCGTCTTTCTTGTCAAAATATAGTGCGTCTTTCTGTTCGTTGAAACCTTTGGAGTCCTTCCGTTTTTACCAACCTGTTGTTTATTCCCAGACATTTGATTTTGTTTAGGTTGTGCTAAACAAGGCATTAGACACCGGGCTGTCTTCTAACTGGCCGCCGTCTGTTTGCGATGGCTACTATTTCGACACGTTACTAATGAATCCTTTTATAGTTGAAAACAGTTTTGGCAGTCAGGTTTCCCACACATACAAGTTCACCAGTGCCAGAATGGTGTTCATCGCACTCTATATAGTGGTATCCTCTACGTCGTGAGTTGTTTTGCTCGTTAGAACCAATAGCTCTAGGACATTATGAAGCGACAGTGGTGTCAGGGCCGCCACATTCAGTACCTGACTTCAGTGCTTCTCAAGGTTTTGTTCTTAAGCATGGTGAATTAAGGAGATATCTGTTTATTTTCTCATGAAGCATTTTAAAAGATCGGGTTCTTTTATTCTATGAGATGTTTTTTTTTTCTCTCTCTCTCTCCCTTTTTTTTTTTTTTGCTCCTCTGTGTGTGTGTGTGTGTGTGTGTGTGTGTGTGTGTGTGTGTGTGTGTGTGTGTGTGTGCATGCGCATGTGGATGCCAGAGGTTAATGGTGGGGATCTTCCTCATACTCGTCACATATTTTTAAGCAAGGTCTCTACCGAACCTGAGGCTTACTGATTCTTCTAGGCTAGCTGGCCAGAGAGCTCCAGGGATCCAGTTTTTCTCTGTCTCTCCAGTGCAAGGATTACAGGCGTGCACTGCTAATTCTGGGCTTTTTACATGGGGGGGCTGGCGATCTGAACTCAGATCCCCACACTTGTATAGCAAGCATTTTACCAACTGAATTATCTTCCTACCCCCAACCGGTTTCATGTTTGTGCCTATTTTCTCATGAACATTTTAGTACGGTATTAATATAACTACACAAATCTAAATGTGTCGGGGAATGCTAATGTTTTAAATTAAACATCAATAGATTTGGAATCCGGACGGCCAGCAAGATGGCTTAGCCAACCAAAGCACTTGCTGTCACCACTCAAAAGGCGGTGGGACCTGGGAGAAGGGAGCTGATACATGAGGCCCTTGTAGCAGCCAACTTAACTCAGAGTCTCCGACAATTTATACTCTGAGGGTTAAAAAAGGTCACACGGATAAAGTTCTCATGCGTTCAAGCTGTAGACAACCACAAGGACAGGTGCCATATGGCAAAAACACGTTTTTCCATAAAGGCATAGAAAGGATAGTTTAAACCTTTAATTGAGGGGCAGCAGCAAGCAATAAGGAGTAATCTGAAGTAAACTCACTATTGTCTGCTACTCCTGGGAGAGGCATGTAAACACATTGCAAGACCAACTTGGTGTTTTGAAGAAACTGAGGCCACAAGACTCTTGTCTTGTTTCCTTGGGGTGTTCTCGCAAGCACTCACAATTCTCCTTACATGACTCCATTCCTGGATCGTGTTCTGACACTGTATAAGCCCCAAGACTTAAGTTTGACCCTGGAATCTATGTGTGGAAGTGGAAAGGGAGAACCAACTCCATAAAGTTGCCTTCTGACTTACCACACACACACACACACACACACACACACGCACTATGGCATACATACATCTGCACTTAAACATAATAATAATAATTAATAATAATAAGTAAAATGCAAATTAAAAATATTTAGAAGTTGAGTACAGTAGCACACATCTATAAAACCAGTACTCAGGAACCTAGACAAGAGAAGTTTGAGTTTAAGGCCAGCTTGGTCTACATTGTGTGACCTTGTCTCAGAAAAAAACAAAACAAAAAAACAAAAACAAATAAATTTTGGAGGATGTGGGTTTAGAACATTTTAATAGAATTATTACATAGTGCCATACTACAATATTTTAATTATCACCTACAATTTAATCTTTTTTTGACAATGCAGAATATCTTTTGGGATCTTGACTGCTTCTGGATGATTTATCACTATTGGTTATTTTACTGGTGGATAGAAAGTCTATTGAGAATCAGTCACTGGAAGGCCTAAGTTCTCCTCTGAAAAAGTCTGAGTTTTATGCCCCAGCTTTCTTCCTCTCTCTCCGACAGTTCCAAGGAAGCAGCTAGAACTGAATTTCCCAGAACTCATTAGCCTTGCTATTTAGCCGCCAAAGTGTGGCATTGTTACGGTGTAGGGTTGGACAGTCCAGCCTGGGCCTAGCCTTTGCAAATCATGTCTAGCATAAATAGTGTCCTGGCTGAAATAAGTTCTTTTTGGCAGTGACGGGGTAGAAGCTGATGCATCTGCAGGCAGATCAGGCCAAGGATGGGAGGCATTCAGACCTCATGAAGACCCACTGCCTAGCTTCAGCACAGTGGACACTTCCTGTCAGCTCCCCTGCCAGAGCAGCCCCAAGGAGGTTCTAAAAAGTAAAGAAACGTTAGGATTCTTCACTATCATTAAAAAGGAAAAAGAGAGCTGGAGGCATAAACATCTCAATTCAGAATTCCTTTTATGTGGGTTTCTATAGATTTTTACTGAACCGAGACATGTGTTCTTTTAAAATTAACAGATGCAGTGGAAAACTCAAAACAATACTCTGACTAGTCCATGGAGATAAGGGCCAGACGAAGTTTGTTTTTATATCGTTAACAAGGGCAGGAGGCTGGAGGAGGAATCTCGTAGTGTCCTAGGGATGAAATTTTTGGGTTCCCATGAAATGACTGCTTGGAAGTGTAGAACATATTTTACCCTAGACTGACTCTCTCAAAAGGAAAAGGGCAAGATCAACCTTAAAAGTACTTTTCAGTCAGCATAGAGCATATAATCGAGGTAAACTGAGTTGTCTTTTTAACATCTAGGGAATGAATACATGTCCCTATGGATGAGGTAACAATTCAGCAAGACTCGTGACAGAATCACAAAACAAGAAGTCTCGAGAGTGTTGGGAGAAGTCACAGAACGAACTGGCTGATGGGATTGCATCAAGGGGGTTCCTGTGCATTTGGCTGAATGGGAACATTTGGTGTCACAGGCTCCATTTCCTTACAACCAAGACCTTTAAAGATCTTGTTTGGTAATCTCAACCTATGCTGGAAGGGAAAGAGGAGCTGCTAGTTAACATACCGACGAGAGTGTAACGTCGAGAAAAACACAACAGCTTTCTCGTAACCAACAAGGATGCTCGGACCGCTCTAGTGGCTGCAGAATTCGTCAGAATTGGTGACCTTGAACTCGCCTGCATAACAGTCAAGGAGGAAGATGCCTAGAGCCCAGGGGAAGGTGTTCGGCACCGGCAACCAGGAGCGTGTGCAGGAAAGGACAGGGAGGCGCAGGCGCAGCCACTACAATGTGTAAGATTAAAGACGGAAATGGACAACGCCAAGAGGCGGGGAGCGTGTGGAGTAACCAGAAGGCACGCCTTTCTGATGAGAGTGCAAAACCGTGCAAGTATTTGAAAAGTAGTTTGGCAACTTTTCATGAAGTTAGTAGTGCATACTCATTCTGGGGAACAACAGCACCCCATCGAACTTTTCACTCTCTTCTGCTTATTCACTTAAAACAATAATAATAATAAAAAGTCTGCCGAAAACCCAACCAACCAACCAACCAACCAAACAACCAAACAACAACAACAACAAAAACTTAAATTTGCCGAAAGGCCAGTGCATGAAAATTTCAAGTCAGCTTTTCATAACTCCAAACCTCAAGTCACCCCACACGGGTGAAACAAATTTGGTGGTTTCTAGCTAGAAATGTCCCGCAAAACAGAGTAAAAATTACACATCTCTCTATCTTATATAAATCTCAAAAACGTTCTCAGCAAAAGAGCCATGTTTAGGAGTGCACACATGATTCCATTCTTATAGAAAACAAGGAGCCTAGAGGGATAGATCAGTGGTTAGGTGGGTCTGGGATGGAGGTGGGAGTGGGAGAGAGGAAAAGGAACTGAATATTTTACACCTTAATTGTGGCGGGGATTACACTGCAGGTGAATTTTTCAGACTTCATCAGACAGTACAATTAAAACAATACAATCAGCATTTTTCTGTATATAATCTACAGCTCAATACATTTAATATAAAAAAATTTGAATTTTGAGAAAATCAGAGACAGCACTCACTTGAGAGAACTCCTTGAGGTACTGACCCGCAGTGTGCCACTGGTCCCCAAAATTACTAATAAAAATATGGAGTGAGTCATAGGCAGAGCCATTGTGGTACATAAACTACTTTGTAGAATGGCTCTTTTAGGAACTGACCCAACTTATCAGCTCTCCCTGGGACAAGACCTTACACTGAGATCTAGCTATCTGGAGTCACACATTCCTCATTGGCTCTGTGCATCCTGAAGAAGCTCTACTCTGAAAGTATGTCTAGCCTAGTAACCCAGAGGAAGGTCAGGGGATGATGTGGAGATACCATACCCAGCAAGTTGTTCTTTGTAAAGAAATGGGGTGCAGCAACCACCCTTAGCTGAATGGGTTAGGGAGAACTCAAGTAAACTTCTCCCTTGCTCCTAAGTTTCTCTGGATAATTCAGGGCATGTTTGGGTGGGGATTTTGTAAGTATTAGACAGAGCGTAATCTCAAGCATGCTATGAAGTGTAAATCACAGTTCTGTAGCAGTGAAAATTTACATGTTTATGCGAAATGAAAAGGGACAGAGAGTGTAGCTGAGAAACATCTCATGGAGAAATTGCCCCTATCAGGGACAATCGAGTTGTTCCCTAAGCGGTAGACACCTTCTGGGCCATTCCCCTGATGTTATCTCCTACGGCCACCAAGTTCTCTTTTTAAAGGTCCCCTTAAATGCCTGTTTTCCTTTCCAATGAACCACCTCCCCATTTCCTCCCACTCCCATGGGAGACACTTGTTATACTCGTGGCTAAGTTCACAATGATATAAATTTTGAGAGTCCTTTTTTCTTGTCCATT